GTCGTGCGAGAACAGCGCGGCGCCGTCGTCACGCAGGTGCCGATTCGCACCTGGTCGAACGCGGTGGGAGGCTAAGCGAAACGGGCGACACCTGAGCGCCAGTGCCAGGCGGGTTGGATGTGGAGAACTAAGCGCTGAATCTGAGACGAGTTGGAAGTTTGACCCCTTGATTTCCCTAGTGTGATGATCATCCAAGGCCTAAAGCAAATGTGGTGCACGGCAAGTGTATGAAGATTTGAAAGAGCGCCAGGGGCTCCTTTTGCCAATGCCAAGGCCTGGGCCATGGCCAAGTTACGGCTGAAGGCTGGCTTTCTTTGCGCGCGGATCGGTGTGGAAGAATGGAGGTTAGTCCATGTTGGTCCTATAGAAGTCCTGTTTGACTATGTTGGCGTCATGCAGGTGTTGAGGGCATTCCACTTCAGGTCATGCAGTCAGACATAGTCAGACCATGTTTTAAGTAGTCTAACCGTTAGACTAACCCTGGACTTCCAGGGTTATAGATCAGCTTGGACAAGCGGCTATGCCCCAGGATTCCTGGCCCCAACCAAACATTGTTGCACCAGGGGTTTATACATTCCAAAACGAGGTCAACCGAACGTTTCATGGTCTTTCCAGAGGCATGATGGGTTGATCACTTGAAGCGCGAGTGCCGGTGCTTTCGAGACGCTTGCCAAAAACCTCCAGTGCCCAGCATTTTGTGGACGTGTTGAACCGACAACTTGGAAACCACCTGACCAAAAAGCAACCAACACTGCTTCTCATGACCCCTTCCGCCGTTGTTTCTGGTTCGCGGCTGATACTCCGCCCTTGTGTTTGTCACGTAAGTCGTGGTTCAGTTGCCAGGTGGGGTCGGGTGGGGTGGGGTGGGAGGTCGGGGGGGTAATGATGTGCTTGTACTCGTAGCGATGTAAGGATGCAGCTGTACGTACCACGCTGTACTTATATATTTCAATTATATACATTTGCTTCTATGCAACATCCCAACCTATATATACTGCAAATACCAAAAATAAACAATTCAGGTAATGACCTTCAAGTCGAAGGAAAACCACTCGCATGATCTTGAAATGATAGAAACTTGCATGTTGAGTTACATGACTGCAGTAGTTGCAATTGTCACGTAAGAACTCTTGGCTGAACTTTTGGATGACTGCAGATCACTTATCATCAGACCTTCCTTCAAGAACACTTGCTTCGAACGTTCACTTGCTTCGAAACGTTTTTTTCTCACACAGGGTCGGCAGTCATGGCGGCGGCAGTCAGGGCGGCCGCCCTCCCGTCCTTTTCTCCACGGCTCCAAACGCGTCCTCCGCGGCTCCACGGCTCCGTCGCAGGACGCCGAGGTCTTCCGCCTGGCCGCGGACGCCTTGCTGGCGAAGACCGGCTCGGGCGAGGAGGTGCGGCGTTACGGCGTCACCGGACGGGGCCGCAGGACGGCAGGACGGGTCCGCAGTTGATGCCCTCTCTGCCACGCCTGACCAGTTGGACCTTCTGAAAGGAATGGGACAGACCTGATGGCCTGATGGTGTAGTGTAAAAATACGTAGTAAAACGGTTCTTTGGTAAGGACCATTAAGGCAATGGTTGCTTGAATCCTGGGGAATAAGCATATTAATTATAATATATACATGTTAACATGAATGATATAGTGTCAAGCGTCTAGGGTATGTCTTGGGCTATCAGGGAATTATTCAAGTCAGTTGTTTGGAAGGAAGGTCTTCCCAAGAGTGCCTCATCGCACTGGAAACTGGCATCGGTTCAGTCCAAACGAATCGCAGCCACCAGTGGAAAACGCGACTGCTCGTTGTCCATCCAGCAATGCAGCAAGCTCAGCCCTCGAATGCCACAAGCACTGAGGCAACTACGACGTACTTAGGAGAATCGATATATATATATATATGTACCCATCCTGGAGTAGATTCAATATGAACCAACCCCCGCAAAAAAGATGAGCAGTTGTCCATGGATTTGTGGATTTCCATCTTCTATCTACTCCAGAATGACGACATTTGTACATACAAAACCTCAAGTTAGCATTGCTCAGACGCTTGAAACATTGCCCAGCATTCCCAATTTGTTTCCAGGTTTCAGTTTTGACGGATGTTATAGAGCGTGTACAGTTGAAGCTTCGGTACTGCTTGCAGACCTGAAGGAAGCCTTTGAAAGCCAGGCCTGCTTGAATGACACCGTAATAGACCTTGACCCAGAAGCAGTTCTTGCAAAACTGTCCATATAGGAACACATTTTGAGAATCCCACATGTGGGATCTATTGAACGGACTCTTCAAAACATCATCTGGGTAGATCCCTAAAAGCCAGCTAATCATAAGTGAAATGGGAACAACTTTTGGAATCAGACATGGGCAAACTATTGTTGTTTGCTCTTGCATCCATGGCACATAGGAGAACAAAGTCACAACATGCCTACATTTTGGCCCCTAATCCCCCACACCCTTGGGCGGATCGGTCAATAAATCGACGAGTGGTTCGACCTCCGTTGGCAGGTGCGACCGCAGGAGCTCGCCAACATTGTGTGGTCCATGGCGGCCAGGGGGTCCCAGAAAAGCTGCGGTGTACATCCCCTAGCCGACACCTGGCCCTGCACTACTTGGATGAAACCCTGATCGTAGGGTCATCGTAAGCAAGTGGGTAGGGCAATCGTAAGCAAGTTCTTTTGGATCATTTGTTTCCTCACCTGGCCTACACAACGCGAAAAAGTATTCCATGGAACCATTTTGGTCACCATGTGTTTCCTCGCCGAGTGACCGAGTGATGTCCGAAATGCCACAGCGGTGCCGTTGGTTCCAGGGGTTTTCGGTGCTTTCCCATGGGCCTACAGAGGTTAAGTGACCTTATAGGCTTATAGGACCTTACTGGGGTACCTATAGGATAGTCTATATTATATATATAAGGTTCTTCAACCTTAGCTGGGGTGGGCGGATTATATATAAGGTTCTTCAACCTTTACTGGGGTGGGCGGACCACTTCCCTGCTAGCGACGTGTGGCAGTTCACTTCAGCTCACCTCGGGTGACCAGTGATCGGCTGTGCGAGGCCAGCCGAATGGGGAAGGCTGAGATTGGCTTGGACAGGCGCAAGCGGCTTGATGGACGGCAACAGGTTTTTAGTCCCATCCAGTGAGTGGATGATGGGGGCATCCCTATCCTCCAAGTTCGGCACCCCTTCGTGACTCCTGGCTTATGTGTTTTTTGATGTTTTGTTCACCTTTTGCTTGCTACCCTAATTGATCCTATTTGGACATGCGTTCTTTTGTTCACTGGGAGTCCAGTTGACGATTTTAAAACCCTGTCTTTAGATCACCAAAAGTTCGAGCTTTCCTAAGTACACTTTGGTGGTGCCAGATATACAGTCGAACTCAGCTTCGTTTCCGTTCTTGGTGACATGTGCTAAAAGATGCTGAGCCCCCCCACCCGTGCTTGGTGAGCATGACTTTCGGATAGGGACACGGAAACTCTGGGGTTCCAACCACCATTGTTCTATACTGAAAGGTTGTTCAGCCAAAACTGTTCTATGAAGGATTGATGATCGTCGCAAAAGCCAGGTCCCAGTGCCATTCTTTCTTATGGTCCAACTGGACGGCGTAACACGGGCGAACGGGCGTGGAATCCACGCGTCGCGATGCCACAACGCCGGACATCACCGGGGGATCATCACCCGTCTCCGGACCTCGGACCTGGCAGGTGCATCACTCACATGCTTCAGCGTGTCGATGAGGTCGCGGGAGTTGGCTGAGAATGGCAGGGGGGGGGGTCCCAGAAGTTGGCCGAGGCATATTCCATGAGTCAGCGAGGTGTAGAAGTGTTCAAAGGGATTCGGAGATTGTAGAAGCCTTGCGCCCCAGCAATGCGCCAACGCATTGTAATGTATTGTACGATGATTTGGGGAAGATGGCCCCTCCCTCCCAAGCATCCACTTCTTTGAGGGTTGGCTCGACAATGGAGGATCCAGAGTGGATAGTTTTGTAGCGCCAGCAGCAGCAGCAGTACCTAGGAGTGGGAGTAGTGGGAGTAGTAGGAGTAGGAGTAGTAGTAGGAGGAGCAGGAGTAGTAGTCGCAGCAGCAGCAGCAGCGAGGGCCAGTAGACCCACGGTGGTCATTGGTAAAGTAATAGCAATGAGGGTTCGAGCTGGAGAAGTCCCGACACTGGACTCACAGCGCATTTCACATCATTTCACCAGCCAGGTCAACTCTAATCTTCACCACGCCTTGTAAAAGGGACCTACTGTTGGCTTCCCAGTTCATGGGTGCATCGATCCCTTTTCCGTGCAGTCGGGTTTCAGAATGGCAAGAAGCTTTCATGGCAAGTGAGCTGCACACTTGGTCAGGCTTCTAGCTACACAACCACTAGTGCCCACATGCTCACTAGTGGTTCTGGATAGCTGGAGCGATTGGGCTTCACGTCCCGGGATGGCCCTGGGTCGCCCCCAAAGAATTGCGCGTTCAAAGCTCCTGGGTTCTCCTGGGAACTGAATGGAACTGAAGTGACCACCCCATGACCCGCTGACCCGCCCCAGTGCACAGCACTGGTTCGTCCCAGTTCGAAGTCCAGCACATCTCCAACATCGTCCGTGAGCTCAGCACCGGTTCAGCAGACGACTAATGGGAATGCCATAGAACTGCCGAGAAGCGGCCAGTGGTGGTTTTGCATGGAGTGATTGAGCAGTGACTAAGCACAACAACTAGGTGCTAACTAGGCTTCGGGTGCTCACTTTGATCTAGGGAAAGGCTTTTTTTTTCTCATCTGGTTTGAGGACAGGGTGTCTAACTTTCCATGAAAAAAACTTCTTTTACAGCCCAGGTTTGGGTCGGCAAAAGTAGACATGACGCGGACCTCCGGGGTCGGTGTTGGTCGAGCGTCCGGGGAGTTGAACACATGATGTTGTAAGTGCAGGAAGTGTTGAACCTCTTTGGTGGTGTTGTCAGATATGCACAACGTTTACTCAATATTTTCCAATTGAGTAGCAGCCACCAACCACCCTCCAACTAGCCTTGATTTCGCAGTTCTTTTCCAACATGGTTGCATGTTTGCCTGCTGCCGTATGGATTGAAAGACACGGCGCAGCCGTCTGCCGTACGGCCGCGCTCAAACGGAACGCTTTGCCTGCACGGGGCTACCATGAGACGAGCGAAACGGGTGGGAGCACCCAGGTGGAAACATGTGAGACATGAGAAAGAAGCGTGGGTCATGACACAGAACGGCGATCTTTTCGAGCAACAGATTGCTGTAAATACCATGGCAAATCGGGAATCAATTGCCCAAAAGGATCCAAAAGGTTGTTAATCCTGTTCCGTCTGGGCGTGGGATGGCATCCATTGACTAGGGCGTGGGATGCCCGATGCCCCTACCACCCGTGACCGGTCGACGCGGCGCAAACGGGGTTCTTGCGCAGGTCGCCCTAGGTGGCCCTGGGTTCCATGGATCAATCCCATAGAATCCTTAGCCAAACAGTGTTATATATAATGGATTGAGAGTAGATGGCACTGGCACCCCAGTCGATGTCTTTTACATGGGGATCCATATAAAATAACGAACTTGGGGATTGCGCCATCTACTCTGACACCACTGTAACTGGTGGTTCGGAGGGAACTACGGAACCAGGAATATCCTCATCCCCTTTCAACCTTGCCAGATATTGGGAGCGGTTTTGATTCACAACTCAGGTTCATTCGACACATCTTGCACCATGAACGGCCGATTTTTTAAGTGGTGCAGCATGATTCTCTATCTCTATTAACACGTTTGTGGCAGAGTTTTGCTAAGACCCCTTCGCCCCTGAGAATTCAGGGATCTAGGACGGTGGACGCTTAGTTTCAGGGCATCGTTTTGGGCTGATGTTGCTCACAACAAGCGCACGGCTTTCGGCTTTCACAGTGAGAAAACCTATCTCTTTACTTGTCCAACAGGGCCTCGGGCCAACCCTGGGATGAAAGCCGAAGACGCGAAAGCGGATGGCATGCCCGTGCGTCCCCAAAAACTGATATGTCTCAATAGATCACTACAAAGAGCTCAAACAAACTTATGCGACATCATCCAAAGGATGAATCGATGGAAATTGTCACCTGCACTGACCTGCACTACCTGGAAGACAACATGTTTATCTCCCTGCTAAGCACGTGCTCTTCAGCTGCGTGACGACTGAAACGGGTGTGGTGAGGCAATCCTTCTCATGTCACTGGCAGCCCAGGCCATTTTTGGGAGAGGGGGACCAGCAGAGATGTTTGTTTAGCCTGGAGGAGGATGGATAAAGTGTTAGTCGCGTTACAGTGGTTTCAGAGTAGATGGCACAGACCGCATGATGTAGACAGTAACTTGTGCCATCTACTCTCAATCCACTCTAGTCGTCCAGCTACAGCTAGTGCTTAGAACCTTTGGTGAGAGATCATGACCAGCCGACCCGACATAGGACTGCCGATCAGTTGGGGTGGTTTCAGGGGTCAATGTAGGTATATATATATATACCTTTATCTTCCAACTGTGACAAACTTCTGCCTTTTCGACCATAAAAACCAGCCCAAAGGCAGAAATTTGGCATAGTTGGAAGATCCAGGTATATATGCCACACATTGAGTGTTTGGGAGTGTGTTTGGGTTATACCACATGCGGGGCGATCCCATCGAATGGGACTGCCATAGGACTGCTGATCAGTTGGGGGTGGTTTTGGGGGGTCAATGTAGGCCTTCCTGGCAGTCCCATGGAGTGTTTGGGTCATGGGAACCGATCATCACCCTTTTATCTAGAGCGACCTTTCCTTTCCAAACAAGAAGGAAGGCTGCGGCGTGACATGTCTTTGCTCTCGGGGGGAGAATGTTTCTGCCATGAAATCACATGACATCAGTCTACATGCCAGGATTTCAAAAGACCCTTGCCATAGCCGAGCCATCAGTTTTGATGGAGTTAAGTTGAGTGAAGTCATCGCATACAATTATAGCACTACATATTACATATATAGATATTCCTTTCTGCTAAGCAGATGTTTGACGAGCGGACGTGAACATTGTTTGCCGTGGTCTTGTTCTCAAGTCCCACTTTTACTTGCAGGGTAGGTCGCACATGGAAGCGCAGGCCCTTGCGCTGGCTGGCTGTGGGGTCGTTGTTGGGTGGTATCTCAGTCGAGAGGCTCCTCGGGATCCTCCCCCTTGCCACTGCCAGTGCGGGTGCAACGTGCCTGAAGGGCGACAGAATCAATCGTGGCTTTGGGTTGGCGGAGTGGCCATCATCCTGATTTTGCTGGCTTTGAACTTGGTGCTTGTTTTGAGGATCACTGTGAGGCAGAACGATCGAGGTGAGCACGAGGTGACATTGTCGGTGAAGGGAAAATCTGGAAAGGGCTGGTACGGGGCTCCGCACGGACTGCAGATCCTTGACCAATTGAGCATAGGAGTTGGAGAATTTGTTACTTTGAGTACAACGGATACCCTGGAGTTTTTCCATACGCGGTTGGCCACTGCCCATATCTAAAATGATGAGTGGCTCATAGCTACACCCGATTTGGACTTGTACCTTGAGGAACTCAATGCAAGGAAACGGAGATTTTTCGCAGTTCTTTCATAGCGGTACAGGAGCAATCCCAAGAGGAGTCCCACGTGGTGCAGTCTACGCTTTCCGGATGCCCCAAATAGGTGGACCTTCTTCGTGGTCCATTGTTCGTTTCTCTGTGGTCAACCCAGGTAACCCAGGGAGCCCACTTCTGACCCGCAGAACTTTCTGGCAAAACATGTTGGTGCACTACCTTCGTATAGCTTTTTCTTGTCCTCATGCTCTCCGGAGAACCTTTCGCTTGCAAGGTCGTGCTTCCAGACGCAGTCCATGGCGTGGCCTCCATTCGTGCCGAGCTTGGCGGGTCCGGGCTGGGGCGCGCCGTTACTCTAGGACCTTGCTCGAGATCAAACGGGGCCCCTTCTGAAGGACCTAGCTCTTTTCTCGACATGCGCACTCCTCATTTGCCTGCCGCTCAGAGAGGAATCTGCTCCAGTGCTGGGAGAGGACATGGGTGTCTCGTTTGCATGCGTGGAGACGGAGGTGATCCCTGCAAGCTTCAAAGTGGCCACACAACACCGTAAATACACGTGTTTTCATGTGTTTTCAGCTCCTCCTATCTTCAAGAGTTGCCTCAAACCACGCTATTTGCAGGTTTTTTCGTGGCGGAAAGGGCTTTTGCGGTGCTTAGAGGCATCAAAGTCACGAAAGCTAGCGAAGCTAGCTGGAGTTACTCTTGCGATAGCAAGGTTTCTTTCGACCGGGTGCAAATCCTAACCCCTGATTATTCAGGTCGAAGACCCCCCCCCCCCCCCCCCCTTCCCTCCTCCCCTCTCACCACCTCCCCTCTCCCCACCTCTCCTCTCCCCACCTCCCCCCTCTCCTCCTCCTTGTCTTCCTCCCAT